CGTGATGCCCATCAATGGTTCAACCCCTAAAATCACTGACTATTTTTCATTCGGTGCTCAGTGGGGTTTAATTTATTGCTGGAGAAGTTGTTGCCTCTAGAATCCGCTGAGTGGGAGCAAGCAGGTCAAACATCCTCTTTACTGACCACTGTGAAAATCCAACACGTTGAGACACTTGGATTATTATTCAGCAGGGTTAGTTCAATCACACCACTGGACGTGATCAGCATTAAGAACCTGTCTTATGCAGACTTCGCAGCATAATGACTGTCATTAGGGACTTTAGTTACTTTAAGGCCTGAAGCATTGTGACACAGTCAGATGTGTCCTTTAGACCATTCACAATTCTCCATTAACCTATCACTTTTACTTAGTTTGAGAAGCTAAAAGCAATCACAGTTTCTGAGCTCATTAAACATTTTTAGATAGAAGTCAAAGAAAGGTTTCTTACTGCATCCAGCTTTTCCATGTCTTGGTACACTATATGGACAAAAGTATTGGGACAATACTACAAATTACACCTACAGGAGTGTTTATGACCTTTGCAGCTATAATTGCTTCCACTTATCTGGGGAGCTTTCTACAAGATTTTGGAGAGTGTCTGTGGGAATTTTTGTCCATTTACCCAGAAGAGCATTTGTGAGGTCAGACACTGATGCTGGACGAGAGGGCCTGGCTCACAATCTTCATCCTAAAGGTGTTTGATGAGGTTGACATGTAGGCCAGTTAAGTGCTTCCACAAGTTCTTTAACTCACTCAGCCATGCCTTTATGGAGCTTGCCTTGTGCACTAGGGCTCAGTCCTGCTGGAACAGAAAAGGTTCTTCCCCAAACTGTTCCCACAAAGTTGGAAGCATACAATTGTCCAAAATGTTTTGGTCTGCTGGATCTAAGGGGCCTAAACGAACCCCTGAAAAACAACCCCATAGCATTATCCTCCCTCCACCAAACTTTACACTTGGCACAATGCCATAAGCCGGGTAACGTTCTCCTGGCATTCGCCAAACCCAGACTCGTCCACCAGACTGATTTAGAAACTCTATCCAATGTTTGACATTGTGCTTGATGATGTAAGGCTTGCATGCAGCTGCTCGGCCATGGAAACCCATACAATAAAGCTCCTGGTGAACAGTTTTTATGCTGGTGTTAAAGCCAGAGGAGGTTTGGAACTACAGTTACTGAGTCAGCAGAGCGTTGGTGACTTTTACGCACTGTGCGCCCCAGCACTTGGCGACCCACTCTGTAACTTTTACGAGTTGCCGTCATTCCTAAACACCTTTAACTTTTTAATAATACGACTCACATTTGACTGTGGAATATCTAGGAGAGAGGAAACTTGCAAACTTGACTCACTGCAATAGTGGCACCTTATTACCATATCACAACTGAATTCAGTCAGCTCTTTAGAATGACCATTTCTTTCATAAATCTTGGTAAAGACAGACTGCATGGCTAGATGCTTGATTTTATACACCTGTGGCAATGGGACTGAATGAAACACCTGAACTCAATCATTAAGAGGTGTGTCCCAATACTTTTGTCCATGGTAGTGTATCCTACCTACCAGTCTCTTTGAATCATTTACCTTTTTCCATTCAGTTGAAGGAGTTGTCTCTCAGGCTGCCAGGACCTTCTGTGGGAAGAAGCAGGTTGTTTGTCCTCTTTACTGATCACTTTCAGTACTCTAAGAGAGAACCCAACATACTGTGACACTTGGATTAGCAGGCCAAGTTGAGTCACTGTGCTGGATTTCTAAGGCACGTATGCTGCCCTTCATTATCTTTACGTCACTCATCTTTTCCTCAGTCGAGTTTAATTTCATGTTGAAGGTATTGTTTCATTGGCCTCAGCCTGGTAGGTGAGGAAACCTGATGTGTGGGAATAAGCAGGTCAAACATCTGTTTTGCTAAACAGTTAGGCTAAGATATTCCAACAAATCAACACATTTGGATATTATTGAGTTGGTTAATTGAGTCACACCCCTGGCCTTTTAGCATTAAGAGGCCATCTTAGGTCAGATTTTCGCAGTATAATTACTGTCATTAGAAGCAGTTTATTGCCTAAAGCCATTATGAAAGAGGTGTGTTCATTAGAACTTTCACTATTCTCTAGCCACCACTCACTTTGCCTTAGTTTGAGAAAACAAAAGTGATTAATGTCGCTGAGGTAATTAAACTACTTTTTCCAAACATGAAAAATCAATGAAAATTTCCTTAGCTCATCCAGCTTTTCCATGTGCCGGTATATTTCAGTCTTTGTTGAGGTCTCAAAGCTTGCATCATGCCCTTCAATGGAGGGTCACTTTTAATCACTCAGCATTTTTTTAGTCAGTACATAGTTGGGTTTAATTTGATTATTTATTATTTCATCTTTTCCTGGTAAGAGCTGAAACCTGCTGTCTGGCAGCAAGCAAGCCATTCTTCCTCTTTGCTGGCCACTTGGGCTGAGAGATTATAACACATGGACACACTCAGAATTTTATTTAACAGAGTGAGTCAAGTCACACTGCTGGACAAGTTCACCATTAAGCCTGAATTTTGCAGTATAATAACAATCATTAAGGACATTTTGATGCCTAAAGCTGTTGTGATACATCAAATATGTCTTTTAGATGTTTCAATTCATTCTATAATCACTTTGCCTTAGTTTGAGAAACCAAAAGTGATTACTGCGACTGAGCTATTGAAGCTAATGAAAGGTTTCTATATTTCAATCTCTGTCAACGCCTCTGATGTTTCATAGGCTTTCATGGTGCCCTTCAATAGAGCAGTCATTTTTGACGTCAGAATTTTCCATTTAGGTTTTAAATTGATGTTGAAGGAATTGTTTCTTTGGCGTATTCCCGGTAGGAGTTGAAACCTTTTGTGTGTGAAAAAGCAGGTTAAATGTCTTTGTTAACTGGTCACTTAGGCTAAGAGACTCCAGCTGATTAAAGCACTTGAACGATCATTCAGCAAGTTAATTTAGTCGCACCACTGGACATGTTCAGAATTAAGAGGTCAACTTACATCAGATCTTAGCAAGATGACGGCTGTCATTAGGAACACTTTAATGCCCAAAGCTGTTGTGACACACTCTGTTGTGCCCATTTGACGTTTCACCCTATTCACCAATCATTTTGCCTTGGTTTGAGAAACGAAAAGCTATTAGTCACTGAGCTCTAACTACGTTAAGAGTTTTAGTTCATACAACTTTTCCATGGGATGGGATATTTGGGTCATTCTACGGAAACGTCTACTTTTCTATCTCTCTGTAGGTGTCACTGGTGATACCAATCCTCATTGGTGTTACACATAAGAAAGGTAACACCAGTGACAATAACACAAGTTACATTTTTAATGAAAAATCAATTTTACATAATGGTTGCTACAGAGCATCAAACCACATGTTGTCAATCATGGAATATCTGCTAAAATATGTAATTTAATCCATTTGTATTTTTTTTTTTACAAATGTGTAAAAATAAACTAGGCCACACCACTGACTTCAACTAAAAGCTTCATATGAAATCATGAGCTAAATGAGAAACTTTCTGATATCTGAAAGACACAGTGGACTCACCATGTGCTGTCCTTCATAGATCCTCAGAAAACAGGTAAAAGAAGTCAAGTGATGTCATCAGTGTGATTTTTATTTCAAAATAAGAATTTTTTTGTTACACGGTAACACCAGTGACTCCTGGGGACAACAACTTTCATTATAAATTTTAGATATTTTAAATATTTATTTGGCATTTGTTTTCTTTATGTCATTTGATTTATACATTCCATAGTCATGTATAGATTATTGTATTTAAAATTGCAGAAAAATTTGTTTTTTTTTAGAAAATATGGCCTCACCCTTTACACATGACTGTGGGCACAAGCACTTCTGAGGTGCCTGGAATTCTAGATAATTAATTTAAAAACCAATATTGCTAAATTGAGGCTCAAGAAGGTGTAATTGATAAAATAACATTGTTTTATTTTAAAATATAAATAAATTATAACTCTAACATGTTTTTTAAATGTAATATATCTGTAAACGCTAGGGACACAAAAATGGACGTAGAATGACCCATTTACATATTTGCCAAGATCTCAATTTTGCAAGCTTGCATGGTTCCTTTCAATGGGGGAGTCTCACTCTGTAATCACTCAAAATTTTCCAATTTGTTGGAGGAACCTACTGTGTGAAAACAAGCAGGTCAAACTTTCACTTTACTAAGCACTTGAGGTACCCCAGGAGAAAATCTAGCACATTAAGACACTTGATTTATTATTCAGCCTGCTAAGTCGAGTCACACCACTGGACGTGTTCAGCATTGAGAGCCCAACTAAAGTCAGACTTTCGTTGCATTTAAAGCAAAGCAATTGTGACAAGAGTCTAAGAATTCTTGTCAAAAAGATCTGGACTCTGCTGATGTGACGAGACCTTTGCCTACAATGGCTGGAAAAGCTGTGGAGTCTTTAATGGCTAAGAACTTTGTGGAGCTTTCCGTGAAGATTCTTTGACCATTTTAAGCACCTTTTGCTTTCAGAAGTGATTGATGGGCTACGTCTGGAGAGGCTGGACATTTGACAGATTCATTTGTTTAGCATGTCAAGGATATCAAGGGAAAGGATCTGCTCACCCCGATTTGCATGCTGATTGGCTCATTTCCTCTTTGTGTTAAAGTCGCAGGCCACATGCGACTTCTGACAGACAGAGGCCTTCGATTCAGAAGCAGCGCTTTTGAAAGAAAGGAAGAAAGGAAAGGTCTGGCATGTGTTAGTTCGTGTTTCTCTGAAATATTAATGCAACACAAAATTCATTTATCACCCAGACTTCACGAAATGACACCCAAATTGGGTTTCAGCTGCATACATTTCAAATATGGGTCCTCCCATCTGGAAGTGGAAAAATCTTTCTGTTACGTCTACAGAAACACTACGTGCTATTGCAGAAGGAGGATTCATTGCATGGCTGTGTGGACTGTGTTGTTTTGAACTCACCATTGCACTCTGTTTTTTATTCCTCTAGGAGACAACAACGGCTGGCCTCATTTGTTTGACAAATATTTCGGAGTCCCCAGTAACGACCTCGGAACCAAATCAAATGCATGTTGTGAGTACGCTCCCTAAAAATTCTCATATACTACAGTAGAAAACAAAAGTGCAAGAGAAATTTCATCATACATGAGCGATATACACACAGAAGCAGAGCTGAGGTGTAATTCACTGACATGTAGCTTACATTCAGTGCAGTCAAAAGTTTGAACAGACCTGCTCAGGGTTTTCCTTATTTCTATTGTTTTTTTTAAAGTGAAAATATCAAAATGAAACAATATGCTGAAATATACACATTATAAAAGAAGTGTAGGCCCCATTTGTCTTCTAACAGTTTTACACACTCTTGATCATTCTATGTAGCCGCTTTATGAGAAACCATCTTGGATGTTTAAACAGGCTCCACTTATGTATTTAAACATGGTCTTTAAATCAAACTTTGTTTGACTCACAAACTTTGAGTATGTGAAACAAATATTCAATCAGGTGTGTCCAGAGTTCTCTCTGTGTGTGTATATATACACACACACACACAACCCCATTTCCATTAAAGTTGGGACACTGTGCAGAAATAAAAATAGAATGCAATGAGAAAGTCATGAAAACCATATTTTAAAGGAAAATATTACAAAGACAACATATCAAATGTTGAAACTGAGAGATTTTATTGTTTTTTGAAAAATCTATGCCCATTTTGAATTTGATGCCAACAACACGTTCCAAAAAAAGTTGGGACGGGTGCATGTTTACCACTGTGTTTCATCACCTCTTCTTTTAACAACACTCTGTAAGCGTTTGGGAACTGAGGAGACACTGCTGTAGTTCTGAAAGTGAAATGTTTCCCATTTTTGTTAGATATAGGATTTCAGCTGCTCAATAGTTCGGGGTCTCCTTTGTCATATTTTTCATTTCATAATGCACCAAATGTTTTCAGTGGTGACAGATCTGGACTGTAGGCAGGCCAGTTTAGCACCCAGACTCTTTTAATACGGAGCAATGCTGTTGTAATACATGCAGAATATGGTTTTACATTGTCTTGCTGAAATAAGCAAGGCCTTCCCTGAAAAAGACGTCATCTGGATGTCAGCATATGTTGTCAAAACATGCATATATCATTCAGCATTAATGTGCACTGATGCACCCCTATAACATCATGAATACTGTCTTTTGAACTGTGCAGTGATAACAAGCTGAGTGGTCTTTAGCCTGGAGGACACAGTGTCCATGATTTCCAAAAGGAATTTCAAAATTTGATTTGTCGGACCACAAGACTCTTTTCCACTTCGCCTCAGTCCATCTCAAATGAACTCCAGCCCAGAGAAGGTGGCAGCATTTCTGCAAAGGTTATGTTTACTTCTTTTTTTTACTATATATATATATATATATATATATATATATATATATATATATGTATATATATATATATCATTTCTTCTTTGTTTAGTAAAGTTTTAACTTGCATTTGTGGATGCAGTGACAAACTGTTTTCACAGACAATGGTTTTCAGAAGTGTTTCTGAGCCCGTGCAATGATTTCCACTACAGAATCATGTCTGTTTTTAATGCAGTGCTGCCTGAGGGCCCAAAGATCTTGGTTTGTCTATACTGGTTTTTGGTCTTGTCCCTTGCATGCAGAGATTTCTCCATATTGTCTTAATCTTTTAATGATATTATGCACTGTAGATGATGAAATCCCCAAGCTATTTTATGTTGAGAAACGTTATTCTTGAATTGTTGCACTATTTGATCATGCAGTATTTCACAGAGTGGTAAATCCCTCCCCATCTTTACTTCTGAAAGACTCAGTCTCTCTGAGGTGCTCTTTTTTCTAGCCAGTGATGTTACTGACCTGTTGCCAACTAACCTCCAGGTTTTTTTTTTCTAGCATTACACAACTTTACCAGTCTTTTGTTGCCTCCTGTCCCAACTTTTTTGGAGTGTGTTGCTGCCATCAAATTAAAAAATAGGCATGCATTTTTCAAAAAACAGTAAACTTTCTCAGTTTTAACATTTGATATGTTGTCTCTGTGCCATTTTCAAATAAATATAGGGTTTAAATGATGTGCACATCATTGCATTTTGTTTTCATTTACATGTTGCACAGCATCCCGACAGTTTTTGGAAACGGAGTTGTAAATAAAAGATGAAAGATCAAAAGGAAGAGTATCTCCTAACTATTACTACTACTACTAATATTAATATTAGTAGCATAATAATTTTGTAGGTAGTTTGACCAGAGGAGGATGGGTCCCCCCTTGTGAGCCTTGGTTTCTCCCAAGGTTTCTTCCTCAGCTCTGAGGGAGTTTTTCCTTGTCACTGTCGCCCCTGGCTTGCTCACCTGGAGGATTTACATTTCATGTTAAAACTTTGTCCTTAATGGATTTCTGTGAAGCTGCTTTGTGACAACATCAGTTGTAAAAAGCGCTATACAAATAAATTTGACTTGACTTGACTATTAAAGAATGTTTTTTTACTGCCTGTTTTGCTCATGTTTGTCAGGAGTGCTAATATGTGTAGGAACCATGTACATTTAAGTAAGTCATTTTCTGCAAAGGTTATGTTTACTTCTTTTTTTTTTTACTTTAAATATCAATAAAACATGTCATTTGGCCAGAGGTGACCAAGGTTGTGAATGCAACTGTATAATAGAGGCCAGTAGGCATTATCAACAGGGTTTCTGTTCTTTTACTAAGTATAGGGAAAAGTGTCTTAACCCCTTAAAATCCCAGGATTATTGCATACTAAGGCTTATTATACAATAACTACAGGGACTTAAAACTGACTGAACTTAATCACTGTAAGCTGTAAGCTAAAAATGCCACAAATAGAGACTGGGTTGGAAAACACTGGCGTAAAGAAGCACCATCTGAAAGGTTCTTTAGAGAACCAAAGGTGCTTCTTTTATGCAATGGCACCTTTATTTTCTTAGTATAGGACTGAGAAACACTTAAAAGCTCAGAGAAATGCAGAAGCAGGAACCATGTAATTTGATTCTCATATACTGTTTGCATTTTCATGCAATAAGGAGGAGACCAGCTTGTGTGGAAATTGGGAAACTGTCTTTTTATAATTTCTGGAGAAAATGAAGAGCAGATATTTTAGGAAATGACTTAGCCGGTACTTATTAAAAAAAATAGCTGACACATTATTCTTGTGTATATAGTTAATACCACAATGACTCACTGTCTGAAAGTTCAAGGCAAAATTAGCTGATTCTCTCCAAAACTTTTGGGGAATGATGTATCTCCAGTAATGAATGGGGTAAATGGTCACACTCAGTTGATTTCAAGCTATCATGTAGTCCGACAGCTCAGCATGAGTGCTCTGCTTTTAGCTCTGCTTTAAAGGCAAGTCAAGTCAAAGTTTATGTATATAGCACAAAAGTAACAAAACTCTTCTTTGAGTTGTCTATGACCTTTAATATGTGTCAGTTAAATGTGGACGTTGAGCTGGAAATGAAGGAGATAAAACCTCTCATGGCTTCGTGACCCCCAATATTTTATCTCCATCACGATGAATGTGTTTTAAAGTTGCAAATAAACAAGGATACAGTTCAGGCTTTTAAGCTTTGGAATCAGTTACTGTTTCTCACTTTTAGCACTTTGAACTACATTCTAAACTTTCAATTAAATCACATTTGCATTTGTAAGTGCCAAGGAGATATGCATTGTGAATTTTGATCAAAAGTTAGTTATGCATTAACTCCAAACTGTTAGTATGTATATATGTTCATGAAATGTAATTAAATATGTCATTGCTATGTAATTAAACATGTAAAAGTGTAATTACATTTGATCAGAACATGAACAATTACAATGATTACTTTATACCAGGGGTTCTTAAGAAGTTCCCAATGTGGACTGAACCTGAAAGATTTGACAGACTGGTTTGGGGAGGAGGGGTGTTGGCAAGCAGAATTGCCACAATGCATATGAATATGTTTTGCTACTGTAGAGGATGTTTTGTAACCGAATGGCAGAGAGATTGGCCAGCTATATGGCCTCATTTGCTACTTTCTCCCCACATACCACACACAATGGATTTGGCACATTAGCATCCCCAGTGGTGATAAACTGCCAGGGCTGTAGCCCCGAATATTTTTAACTAGCCCCAAGTCTTACAATATTAACATGTCACATGTTTCACCTCAGCTTATTGCACATCCTTCTTCTCACCCATATCTAATTCACAGGCACATTCACACACTCCTCAAACACCAGAGCTTTTCCAAATGCAGCTATACACTCTCAGAAATAAAGGCATGAAACTGTCACTGGGGCAGTACCCCTTGTGTCACTGGGGTGGTACCTTTAAGGGTACATCTCAGTATTACACCAATCAGCGATCACCACCACCACGTCAGTGTTACTGCAGTGCTGAGAATGATCCACCACCCAAATAGTACCTGCTCTGTGAGGGTCCATGGGGGTCCTGACCACTGAAGAACAGGGTAAAAGTGGGCTAACAAAGTATGCAGAGAAACAGATGGACTACAGTCTGTAACTGTAGAATTACAAAGTGCACCTAAATAGTAAGTGGAGCTGATAAAATGGACAATGAGCTTAATGTTATGCCTGACTCCACACACCCCGTCTCGTCTCCAGGCTTTTTATTTTATTGTTCTGTTTTAAAACATTAGGTTATCAAAAGTTACAAAAATGTACTTTTCATCTGGGGGAAAAACTTATTTCACATTTGGACCTTAAAACCACTGTTGTACATTTGAGGGAACATTTACATTGTTTGTACCTTTATGAACAAAACATGTACCTGCACAGAACCTTTGTTTCTAACAGTGTAGACTGTAACATTATATGAGAGAGAGAGAGAATAAGAGAGAGAGAGATAGAGTGCACACATGCAGTGGGAGTGCTTGTAAGAAAAAGCATGCAAGAGAAAAAAATGTGTGAGTGATGAATTTTCTGTTAAAAAAAAAAATCTATTATCATTCATTATAATTGCTAAGGGTGCATTCAGACTTGGTGGGTTTGGTTGGATCACTCAGCAGACAAGCCCAAGCCGAGCCCTATGTTGTGCATGCAAAATTGGCCCTCACATTGACCAAAACCCCAAATTTTGTGGGCCCATCAGGCTTGGGTCAGGTAGCAGATTTTCAAAATATTTATCAAGACACACATAAAATTACCTAGATTGAATAGCTTGTTTTAAAGTTATACATTTTCTGTTACGATAATTGTTTTCAGTCTTGTTTATTTTCTTCATTTTCTTCATGTTATTATCATAATGTCAACAGATGTTTAATTCAGCTTCAAAACAATGCTACAATGAAGTGGGCTTAGCCCCTGCTTAACACCCCTGCTCTTGTTTTTGTTCTTGTCTTTGGTGGCATGTTCAAAAAAATGTTTTAAAGTTTTGGACTTCTCAACATATGCAAGCCATCAGCTGAAAGCAGCCAGGTACTAAACAATCCGTGGTTGGGAACCTCTGGTCTAAACCTCTTAAAGTTAATAAATGCTGCATTAGTTTTCCCAAACCCAGTTTCGCAATTGAGAAAAGTGATGACAGTGGCCGTTTACTCAAGGACTACAGGGGTTTTAACCTCTTTTTCACTTTCTCTTTTCCTTTGCAAGCTGGATTTCTTTTGCCCAAAGTTGTTTGTGAGGTTTTGTTCTGGCCTTGTGTCCCTGTGTGTTCTTACAGTTCATATTTCAAACTTATTTTTTACTCCATTGGTCTTGGGTCACTTCAGTGCGAGGAAAATATGCTTCACTTATTTCAATTACAGGAACTGAAGCATTAGGTGGTGCAAAAATGGGGTGCTTTGTGTTCCACCCACTTCACTGTGTGATGTGGGAAGTATTTATTTTGTGGATGGCAATCTAAATGTACTCACAGAGTGGAAAAGCAAACAGTAAAGCAATATAAGAGTCCTTCACAGCAGTCTTAGAGCTGTAACTGCTAACGTTCGCTCATTACTGGGCTTTTCACACTCTCAAATCAGTAATCAGTTTACTTCAGGTTTTTTCTTTTCCACTTCGTTTTTAGCCTTATTTATTTTTAGTTTTGTGCATTTTTTGTTCTGAAAGAATAATTAGAAAATCACTTGTTTTTACATTCTTTCAAGTTTGTAGGGTTACTAAATGTTCCAGATGATGATTTATTTGAAATGTCAATTCTTTACATTTTCTAATACATTCTGTGAGTAAGCTTGCATACGCAATATGGCATGATTGGTTTAAAATAGTTTATGAATAGCTTATTAGTTTTTGATTCAACTCTCATTCAGGATGGGACATGAATATGTTTGTTACTGTCATTTAGCCATACTATTACAATGTAATTATGTTATTACATACCTATTATGTAATTACATAGTTATGTACAATTACCATTAAATATATACACCATGTACCATTAACTATATGCAGCACATAAAATAGTTTAGGACATACTATTACAATGTAATTATGTTGTTACAAAGTTGTACTCTAACTACATAGTTATGTACCATTACCATTAAATATATACACCATGTAAAATAACTTATGAATAGCTCATTAGTTTTTGATTTAACTTTCATTCAGGGTGGGACATAAGTTTGTTACTGTCTTTGAGTCACAAATATTACAATGTAATTATGCCATTATATACATATTATGTAATTGTATAGTTATGTACAATTACCATTAACTATGTACACCATGTGGAATAAAACATAAATGGCTTATTAGTTTTTGATTCAACTCTCATTCAGGGTGGCATATGAATAGGTTTGTTACTGTTATTTAGCCATACTATTAAAATGCACTTATGCTATTACATAGTTATTATGTAATTATATACATACATACCATTACCATTAAACATATACAACATGTAAAATAGTTTATGAATAGCTTATTAGCTTTTGATTCAAATCTCATTTCGGGTGGGACATGAATAGGTTTGTTAGTCTCATTTAGACATACTATTACAATGTAATTATGTTGTTACAAAGTTGTACTCTAATTGCATAGTTTTGTACCATTACCATTAAATAGATACATCATGTTAAATAGTTTATGAATAGCTTATTAGCTTTTGATTCAACTCTCATTCAAGGTGGAACATGAATAGGTATGTTACTGTCATTTAGCCATATTATTACAATGTACTTATGCTATAACACAGTTATTATATAATTATATACTTATGTACTATTACCAATAACTATATACACCATGTAAAATAGGTCATAAATAGCTTATTAGTTTTTGATTCAACTCTCATTTAGAGTCAAGCTTTCGAGCTGCTATCATGCTTAGTTTTTTGAGATTTAGTTTGGCTCTGATTTTTCCTCCTTTTCTATCAGCACCACCTTTAAACCTTTCATCCTTCCATTAGCTTTGAAAGTCTAGAGTTATACTGTTTCTGGTCATTTAGCCAAACTATTACAGTGTTAATAGGCAATTACATAGTTATCATATAACTACATAGTTATGTACCAAAATAAGTTCTTTAATACATGTTCTGTTGAATTATATGAGGGCGTTTGCATGCACAAGTAATATGACATGACTGGTTTAAAATAGTCTATGAATAGTTTATTAGTTTTTGATTCAACTCTCATTTAGGGTGAAGAACGAATGGATCTTTATGATATTCTTAAAATACGAGGTCCTGGACAGATATCAATTAGAAACTAATTTGCTGCTAATGCTTTTACACCGATTTCAGATGCTTGTTGTCTGTATTATAAGTGACATTAAAACTGACGTAAAAGCATTTATGACACTTTTTTCCTGTTTTGTTTTGCACATTAACATTAAAAATTCAAAAAAGTTGCATATATGGTCACCAAATAAGTGAACACAGTGCACAATTTTGAAGACATCATTCAACAAATGTCAAATCATCTATCGAACGATTGCTAAATATTAAACAGTGCTGCTAACCAGGAGAGAGGAGCCGCTTAGCAGGTATGATAACAGCTTTGCTCGCCATAGAACATGTTCTGCTCTGGCTAACTAAAGCTAGTGGTGAACATGGTTAGGGATGGTGATGACCAAGATGACAGGACAGCTGTGTCCCACCAAATGGAATTTTATTCTGTGAGGTGCAAAGGAGAACTTACTTGCACTTGAAGGCCTGTTTCTTTTGTACTTCATCTCAGCTGCAGCTCCAAAAGCAGTGCAAACTGACTTTGAGTTTCAGGTCCTGAATTGGGTTGGTTAAACTCCCTTTTCATTTCACTTCTCCAAAGTGGAAAGCATCTGGCACAAAGTCACAGTTTTCCCATATTAAGAGAAGCAGTGGATATTTTTTTGGACTTTAATAAGTTTGTTACTGTCTTTTAGCGATACTATTACAATGTAATTATGCAATTATGCTTAACTTACATTCTGTATTGGCGTCTACACGCCTGACTTTTTGCCATGTGTTTCATTAAACATCAAGAAATAATAAAAATGTGGAAAAACGTAAAGTGTATTTTCTTTCCACATGACAGAAAATGTACTTTGCATTTTTGCATAACTGTATTATTACTTGATGTTTTTTGAAACACATGGGAAAAGTCAGAAGTCCAATACAGAGTATAAAACAATCAGGCATAACTTTCTTACCACCTCCTTGTTTCTATGCTCATTGTCCATTTTACCAGCTCCACTTACTATATAGGTGCACTTTGTAGTTCTACAATTACAGACTGTAGTCCATCTGTTTCTCTGCATACTTTGTTAGCCCTCTTTTACCCTGTTCTTCAGTGGTCAGGACCCCCATGGACCCTCACAGAGCAGGTACTATTTGGGTGGTGGATCATTCTCAGCACTGCAGTAACAGTGGTGTGTTGGTGTGTGTTGTGCTGGTCTGAGTGGATCAGACACAGCAGTGCTGCTGGAGTTTTTAAACACCTTAGTGTCACTGCTGGACTGAGAATAGTCCACCAACCAAACACATCCAGCCAGCAGCTTTCTGTGGGCACTGATGAAGGACTAGAGGATGACCAACGCAAACTGTGCAGCAGCAGATGAGCTATCGTCTTTGACTTTACATCAAAAAGGTGGACTGAGAAGGTAGGAGTGTCTAATAGAGTGGACAGTGAGTGGACACAGTGTTTAAAACCTCCAGCAGCACTGCTGTGTCATGTCAGTGTTACTGCAGTGCTGAGAATGATGCACCACCCAAATAGTACCTGCTCTGTGAGGGTCCATGGGGGTCTTGACCACTGAAGAACAGAGTAAACGGGGGCTAACAAAGTATGCAGAGAAACCGATGGACTACAGTCTGTAACTGTAGAACTACAAAGTGCTCCTATATAGTAAGTGGAGCTGATGACATTGAGCGTAGTAACAAGGAGGTGGTCATAATGTTATGCCTGATCGGTGTACGTCAAACATAAATGTAATTGCATAGTTATTACATAGTTTGTTACATAATGATTTGCGTTTACTTTTGACCTGCATACTGTATTGGAGTCTGCACTTCTGACTTTCTTCATATGTTTCATGTGTTTCAGAAATGATAAAATATGGCAAAAATCAAAAGTATGTTTCCACCAAACAGGATTGCAGACACCAGAATAACTTTTCAAGTGCACACCACAAAAACATACCACGTCTTCTACTTACAAGCACAGATGTTTGGAATGAAAGTTTAGGATCAGTTTGTTTCAATAAGCTACAATTGAAAAATTATCAAAAGTTATACCACATTTTTGTTATCGGCAGCAAAAAGTGCAACTGCCAAGGGTGAAAACTTCCTCTGTATATAACATGAACTTTCTGTCTCTGTCTGTTCTCCAGTGCTTGGCTTCGTTCCAGCTGAGTGTCAGTGCAGGGATTTGGAGCTGGACTGTGACGGTGCTCACTTTAAAGACGTCCCCACGGTCTCCATTAATGTCACCATGATGTGAGTTCCACCGCAGCCTGCATGTGGCAGGAGGACGGAGGTTTGCTTGAAGTGTGTACAAGTCGTCAGTCTAGGACACACTCACTGCTTGGGTGTCGGAACACACGTTCAGATCACTGCATGAGAGATCAAGGCGTCCCCAGCTGCTTAATGGATGTTTACCAGGAGACATTTGTCTTGCTGTGAACACGGTAAACTGAATCTGTAGGGGTTTGATACACACTTTGAGTGAATTAATGTCAGCACTGTCAGAACCACACTGCTGCAGAACACTCTCTCCAGTACAACACTGATGCAAAGCCAGTACAGTGCAAAAATTAAAAGTCAGGTCAACTTGAAAGTTAAGTCAACTTAGTTTGGTCAAACCTTCTCCTTTTTAGTACGATAGCACAGCCTGTGATACTCCAGGAAGAGAAGGGATGCTTGAGACAGGAGTGAGCATTTCAGCCATTATCTTTATTTTCCTAACACAAAACACATAAACAAAACAGAAACCAAAATCCCAGATAGCTTCTAAGCTTGACCCTTCAATCTGAAAGATTTTTAGCTAGTGTGTCCTTCGTTCCTGCTGCTGCTCATCCGTCCTTTCTGCTCCAGCACTGTAATCTCGCATTTAGTTTTAACTCAAATAAATGAAGTCTGTTGTACACAAAACTCACAAAACAATTTTAAGTTTAGGGAACGTTTTTGATGATTGTGTACACTCAAATGGAATTTTTGAGTTAAATTAACTTATTGGTATTTAGTTTAGTCTGTTGCTATGGCAACTTTGAAACACTGCATTCAAAAAATGATGACATTTCTGTTCGTTTTAATCGTATCTTTCTCATTAAAGTTGCTAAACGAATGTGTGAAACTGAGTGAAGCTAAGTAAGCTGTGAAATACAGTTACATGTTTGTTTTGTTAACACGATCTTGTTAGATCAAACATATATTTCTTTCCCATTGGCTCCTGGCTCCATATATTTGTATACTGAGGGTTTATTTCTATTTGTTTTACTCACTGTCAGTGTGCTTTCATTCTACCCAGGGTGCCTTTCCTCAGGAGTATGTGTTTTTTTATATATATACGCTTTACTCAGCTGCCTGACATTGTGTTGTAGCCTAAGAGTGAAGGTTATCGTTCTCTTTGCTGATGAGTGGACGTTTGTGTTGGTCAGTGACCATGTTCACAGGAAAGGTTAATCCTTTGGTGTTTGGTGGTCAATATCACTTAATTAGAATTATTTAAAAAGTTGTTAGTTGTCTAATGAAACATACAGTTAAATTGCAGTTTCAAGACAATTTAATTTACGAGTTGCACAAACATGTGTTTATGTTAGCCTAACACAAAAATGATAGTTATTCTGACTCACGTTTTCATTACATATTACTTAATTTTTTTAAGGCAACTGGTTTCCTCAAATTCTTTAAGTAATTTCAACTTATCCAGGCTTACAGTGTGTTAAAGGTGCCCACACAACCAAAGCCGATTCATTGTCAACTGGATTGTAGAAATAAGGAGGTGGTCATAATGTTATGCCTGATCAGTGTATATATAATATTTATAGCTCTAAAAGTTTTTAAAGATCAAAATGATTCCATTCAAGTAATATACCTAAATCCATATTTTATCAAAATATGTATATTGCACAGTGAGGGTTCTCAGGAATCGGTGTAACCTTCTTATTTGCTCAGTGCCTTGTCAGATAGCTCAATATGATGGATAGTTATTGTGATCCAAATAACATTAATTTAGACATTTAGGTTAGCAGTAATGTTAGGTGCTAGTGGGTGGAGTGGCCTTGAAGGCATTAAATTTGTTCGCAATAATTACACTAGTGACAAAAGTCTGAATCTGTCGCTGCCCATAAGTGAGCTTTTTGGTCGGCAGCTGTGACAGAACAACTAAACAAACTGGAATGAGCCAGAAGCAAACAGAATACAAGCCAGCAAACAAGATGAGCTGTCTGACTGGAACAAAACGACATTCAGGTTAATCCAGCAAACACTGAAAAAGCCAAACCTGATGTTGTGACAGATTTATGGCTCTGTTCATAATGCAGAGAGCTTTTTCTTAGGTTTGCAGTTATATAGTGTAGCCCATCTGTTGCTCAATGTATCACTCCCTCTCTACCTCATTCATCAGGTAAAAGGAATAAACCACTGACTACTGACCAGATATTATTTGGGCACTGTTTTATTCTCAGCACTGCAATGAAACCAATATGAAAGTGATGACTTCTGAGTATTTTTTCCATGCAAAATATGTGCTCTTCATTTTATGGCCATTGGAGGTTGGATATTTTGGTTGGTGGACAAATCCTGACCCAGCAATGGTACTGAAGTGTTCAAAAACAAACCACTGCTGTGGCACCTGATATACGGTGGTGTGAAAAAGTGTTTGCCCCTTCCTGATTTCTTATTCTATTGCATGTTTGTCACATTTAAATGTTTCAGATCACCAAACAAATTTAAATAGTAGACAAAGATAACACAAGTAAACACAAAATGCAGTTTATAAATGAAGGTCTTTATTATTATTATTAAGGGAAAAAGAAATCCAAACCTACAGGGCCCTGTGTGAAAAAGTGATTGCCCCCTTAACCTAAAAACAGGTTGGGCCACCCTTAGCAGCAACAACTGCAATCAAGCATTTGCGATAACTGGCAATGAGTCTTTTACAGCACTGTGGAGGAATTTTGGCCACTCATCTTTGTAGAATTGTTGTAATTCAGCCACATTGGAGGGTTTCTGAGCATGAACCGCCTTTTTAAGGTCATGCCACAGCATCTCAATCGAATTCAGGTCAGGACTTTGATTAGGCCACTCCAAAGTCTTAATTTTGTTTTTCTTAAGCCATTCAGAGGTGGACTTGCTGGTGTGTTTTGGATCATTGTCCTGCTGCAGAACTCAAGTGCGCTTCAGCTTTTTGCCCAGTCTCTTTCTTATGGTGGAGTCATGAACCCTGACCTTAACTGAGGCAAGTGAGGCCTGCAGTTCTTTGGATGTTGTTGTGGGGTCTTTTGTGACCTCTTGGATGAGTCGTCGCTGCGCTCTTGGGGTAATTTTGATCGGCTGGCCACTCCTGGGAAGGTTCACCACTGTTCCATGTTTTTGCCATTTGTGGATAATGGCTCTCACTGTGGTTCGCTGGAGTCCCCAAAGCTTTAGAAATGGCTTTATAACCTTTTCCAGACTGATAGATCTCAATTACTTTGTTTCTCATTTGTTCCTGAATTTCTTTGGATCGCTGCATGATGTCTCGCTTTTGAGGATCTTTTGGTCTACTTCACTTTGTCAGGCAGGTCCTATTTAAGTGATTTCTTGATTGAGAACAGGTGTGGCAGTAATCAGGCCTGGGTGTGGCTAAGGAAATTGAACTCAGCTTTCCAAAGATGTGATAAACCACAGGGGGGTAATCACTTTTTCACACAGGGCCCTGTAGGTTTGGATTTCTTTTTCCCTTAATAATAAAGACCTTCATTTATAAACTGCATTTTGTGTTTACTTGTGTTATCTTTGTCGACTATTTAAATTTGTTTGGTGATCTGAAACATTTAAGTGTGACAAACATGCAAAAGAATAAGAAATCAGGAAGGGGGCAAACACTTTTTCACACCACTGTACTTGTACCATGCCATTACAGTGCTGGTGTTGCTTCTGTGCTAAGAGCACCTAAATACCACCTATAGTGGTCCTTTGGTAATGATGGGGGTTGATAAATTGTGTGGCAACAGATGGTCTTGTACACCAATATGGCAGGTGTTTCTGGTAAAGTAGGTGCACCTAATAAACAAATATAGAGCTGGCACCGGCATTTGTTTGCATCTGAATTTAACATACCACACATCAAAGTCTGAAAGACGTCTGCCATTTAGATCACAAGAATTCTTGACGAGGTATTTCACGCCTCTCCCACTTAATAACTCCATTTTTCGTTTAATTTGAAATGAAAGTGTCAACAAAGCTGTTTTCCGAGCAAGTGTTTTGCATCTGAAAATGAGACCTTGTTTACTTGCTGCTCTGGTTGGCTTTCAATTCCCAGTGTTCTTTGCTTTTTTTTTTCAGGCATAAAATTCTCAGAACTCACCGGAGAATTAAATAATGGCATTATACGTTATTATGATAATACTATTCTCCACACAAAACAGCCGTGCTTCTCCCACTCATTTGAGTGCCATCCTCTGTAAAAGCCTCCTGACTATGGCTTGCATTAATGTATACCACTGAAATGGATATTTACATAGGGCTGGTTTCTTAATCAAGGCCCCGTGTCTTCTATCACGGCCCGGTTTTATTTTCGCTTCTTTCATTAGTATGCTGTAGCCGGGCATGGAGCTAGTCATGGAGAGTTTGGAGAGTTTGGACAAGGTAGATGGAATGCATAGTCACTCTCTCGTTTTTAATGGAAACACTGTCTGCATGCTCTCTCTCTCAAGCCTCTGAAGAAATCTGAATCACACACAATTTGCTGTAAAACAACAGTCTGTTATTAAGTGTAATAAGTTTGGATAGCATGTCAGCAAGTAGAGCGTGGACTGCAGAACTGAAGAGGCGACCCAGGCCATTTTACAACAAAGACTTTTGCTAGCCTGTCAATGAATTATGAATTTTTATTGTATCCTTTCTGTTGCATGAAAAAAAGAGATACTTAATGAAGGCCTACTGCACCCACCCATGTGACACTTGATACAATAAAAACTAGAATGGAAGTGCAAGAAATAACCTCAACTATGGTAAGAAGTTGTGACAAATTGTGGTTAGTTTAAAGCTGCAGGAGAAGTAGCGGTTGTTGTTTTGAGGAAAGAAGAAGAAGAACAACAGCAAGAACAAGAAGGAGGAGAAGAAAGAAGAAGAAGAAGAAGAAGAAGAAGAAGAAGAAGAAGATGGAGGGAAGAAGGAAAAGTAGAGAGGGAGGGTGAAGATAACAAGGAGAGAAGAAGAAGAAGCATAAAGAGCAGAAGAAAAATAGAGGAGGAGAAGAAGATGGAGGGAAAGAGGAGAACTAGAGGAGTAGG